AGGAACAAGAGGAAAAGCATGGCCCCAGCACAAAGCTGTTAGTTAGAAAAGCAGGCTCTAACTCCCCCTAGGCTTCTGGGTTTTCCAGGGAGGACCGGGGCACAGATGTGGAGGGAGCACCATGTGAGGCTCCCTCTCCTGGTGGGAAGTCCACTATTTGCTCAGGACCTGGATCTCAGCACAAGCCAGGGGTGTCCTTGGGGGACCAAAGGACCCTGCAGCAGCCTAGCATGTGGTGAGACCTTCTGCCAAACCCCAACCGCAGGACACTGAGAACCAAGAACATTACAGTGAAAGGAACCTCGAGAGTCACCTAGTCTAACCCTCCATTATCAGTGTGGAACTCAGGCCCAGAGGAGGTCACCTGACCAGTCAGTCAGGTTGGTCCAAGGCACTGCCTAACTATGTATGAGCACTTCCTACGCACCTGATTCTGAGCAAAGGTATTTGTTGACACACACAGAGAGGTAGGTACTGCTATGATTCCTGCTTTATATGAGAAATCTGTGGCCCAGAGAGGTTATGCCCCTTGCCAAAGGTCACAGAGTTATGAAGAGTAGAGCCAAGTCTCTAATCCAGACCCTTTTATCCCACTGCCCCTGGGCTTCTTCACATCCTGTTGCATCAGGACTATACGCAGGGACCTCTGACCTCTCGGCCCAGTAGAGCCACTTCCATCCTAGGCCCATGCAGCCTGAACATGATCTTGGTCATCTGAACCCCACTGAGCTCTTCCACAAAGAAGCCCTGAGACCTATCACCAGCAGCTGGTCTTGCTGCCCTCACACCTGTGATCCCTCTTTTGCAGCTTAGTTCCACACCCCCTTCTTCCCTCTATCCCCCACAGTTCAGACTGGCTGTTCCTTCTTCTTCAGCCTTAGCTCAAATGTCACCTGTTGAATGAAACATCCTTCTGTTAGTGTCTATTACTGCCCTCTCTTTCCTAACTTTACCGCTTGTAATCATACATCTGTGTGTTTATTTCTGTGTTGTCTCCTCTCCCATGTCTCTGTCAGGCACTGTGCTTGGCACAGAATAAACAGTCCATTAGAAGTCATTCAATAAGTGGGTCAATGAAAGAATGAACTAAAAAAAACAACCTTAATTCTGCCTTAGCTGGTTTGGCTCAGTGGATAGAGCATCAGCCTGCGGGATGAAGGGTCCCTGGTTTGATTCCAGTCAGGGGAACATGCCTGGGTTTCGTGCTCAATCCCCAGTAGGGGGCGTGCAGGAGGCAGCCAATCAATGATTCTCTCTCATCATTGATGTTTCTGTCTCTCTCTATCCATTCCTCTCTGAAATCAATAAAAATATATTTTAAACATAAATAAATAAAAATAAAAACCTTAATTCTTCTTCAAATAAAATGTCTGCCAAAATCTCTCACATCTTGTACTTGCCCATGAGATAGTGTTAAACCCACATAACCAAAGAAGAGACACATCAGGGCGTTAGCAGGGCTCAGCTGGCCCCAAAGTTTCCGCTTTCCCCTTGAAGATGGTGGCAGATTTGCCTCCCAATGGTTTTGCCACCTGGTTTTCTAACTAAGAGCATTCACCTGTTTCCGAGTGAGACTTGTTTATCTCCATTCTGGAGTCTCAAAGTTCAAAACAAACCTAAACAAAGGGGCCCTCTGCTTTGTGCTTGTCAGCCCCATTCTCCTGCAAGGACAGAGCCAAGATTCTGCTTTCCTGATGACTTTCACAGCCCATTCCACCGAGAATCCCACCCTCGCTTCCTCCTGCGTCTTTCCCGCCTCTCCAATTGTTGTGAACATCCTCACGGGTGTAGCTTTTTTAGCTTCTTTTAACCCTTTTCTCCCTAGCCTTATAATGTTTCAGATTGTTTTTCCAATAGAAGCAATTCGGGGCTTTTAGAGTGATCCAAAGCTCAATGGTCTCTCCAAAGAGCTGAATTCATCAGTAGCCAGCTGATTTTATTATTTTAAAAGAACCCTAGACATAAGAACTAATCAATTAAGCCCCCTGTAGTTGGAAAATTCTAAGGCATATTTTCATGGCCACCAACAACTCTATGGAAAGGCCCATAAGGTCTACATAAGTGAAAAATAGCAGGACCATCTCTGAGGGTAGGTAATAGAAAGGATACTAATAATTACATTCATCACTATGCCCAACAACTTTAATACACCCAACATTTCATGAGGTAGATATCATATTTTCCCCATTTTACAAATGAATAATTTGAGGTTCATTGAGGCTGAATATCTTGTCCAAGATCACACCGCTAGTTAGTGATGAAACTGGGACTGAAAATCAGCTGGATTAGAAGCAGTTCCTAGCCTCTGAACCAGGCCATCATTTGGGTTTACCTAATATTCTTGTTTTACTTAGTTAATTACTGTCTATCCACTGCCCCCTCCCAAGTAAAAGTTATGCTCCAGGAGGGCCTGGTTCTTGTCTGTCCCGTTCACCACTATATCCCCAGGAGCTAGAATAGGGCTTAGCACAAAGTAAATATTCAATAAATGATTCCTGGATGAATGAATGAATACTAAACTTTTATTTGACTTTGTCTTATAATTGGAAAATATCTAAACACTAAAGCTTTGGATGATAACTACATATGTTCACTGAACAGCCTTGTTCATTTTGCATATTTATATTTAACTTACCTAAACTTTCTCCCAGAAAAAAAGAAAAACAAAAAAGACCTTTTTCCAAGCATTGGCACCTAGCAAGTTGCACACAACAGGAGAATCAAATAAGGAAGCCCAATCTTTTGGAATTATTTAAATATTTATTAATCACTTACTATATTTTCACAGCAATTCTAAGCCTCTGCCCATTTCAGTAGCAAACAGTGGTTTGTGAATCATCTGGGACACTTGTTTAAAATACAGAGCATCTACTCAGAAGCCTGAAAATCTGCATTTTTACAGATATCTGGTATAGTGGTTGCACTAACAAAACTTTAAGAACCACTGTGAGTAGGTTTAGGATTATCTCCCCCACCAAAAAAAAAAAATTGAAAACAAATCCTATTAAGCTACCAAAATGTGTTTCAAATCCACTGACACTTCAATTTCTCTGAAGATACTTTAATTGCTATCACATCTTGATGTTTTTTTTTCACCATGTGGAAGGCAGAAATATTGTATTTACCTAAAAGGTATTCCTTCCAAGTTTTAAGAGGGTGGCTATCTACCCCTACCCTGTCATCCCAGACTCTGGCACAATAAGTCATTCTCACATGGGATCATGGGATCAAGCTAGAAAGGAGAAGACCCTGTCCCGTTCTGCCACCAGTCGCTGTGTGTCCTCTGGCAGGTAGCTCAGCCTTTCTGACCCACTGTTTCCTTGTCTATAAGTTGGGATGTGAGTGTTCACAGCTTTTTGATTCAACACATGCTCTACCCAGAGTCATTCCATAGACAGGGATCATGTGTCTTCTCGGTCTTGTTTTTCTACACTCGAAGGTCATGCTTCTGTGGTCATGAATTCCATTCAGGAAGTAACAAGGACTGTAAAGGACCCCACCCTCACTGAATTACTCATGACCCCAAAAAATCAGAATATAGGTTTCCCTAATACACACCCAGGTGGACTAATTACAAAAACTAAACAAAAACACTTTGGATGAGAGCTAGTTGGCCATACAATAACTGGGTGGACCTGTGAGATTGAGTCACGAGGCCACATACCAGCTGTTTGCCTCAGACAGGGAAGTCTTTCAAGGTGCAGGTTCCTAGACCTTCCACTCTGAAGGCTGCACAATATTAGTTCTAGAAGAGCCCTGGAGTGCCTGTCAACAAATACTTACTGATACCTACTGTGTGCCAGGCACTGTTCTAGGCATTGGGGGTGCCATAGGAAACCCTACTGACAAGACCCATACTTTCATGGTGCTAACGTTTTAGTGGGGAAGAGAGAGGATAAACAATTGTAACAAAGGAACCAGAGACATGGGGCATTAAGAGGGAGAGAGTAACATAAGTTAGGGAACCTGAGGGAATCCCCCAATGTCTCATCTGCTTGTGCAGCTGCTCCCTTCCACACACGAGGAGGACCAGCCAGAGACAGCAGTGACCCGGTCAAGACCAAGCTGAACTGAAGCAAGAGTTGGAAGTGAAACCGGTTTTCCTAGGAAGCCAATCCCTTCTTCCCAGCCTCTCCCAATATTACTTTACTTCCCGGTCATCTAGCCCTTAGCCCCTAAGACTGAGGGAGGGAAACAAGAGCTCAAGCACTCCCTTGTTGGCACCGGCACAAGGGTCCCCTTAGTAGTCATTCCATTGCACCCCAGGACCCAGGGAGAAGCCCCGGTGGGGCGGGGCCTGAATGCGGGTCGGCGTGTCCAGCAGGTGGCAGCAGCGAGCGGCCGCGCCCCCCTGCACTGCCACCCCGCGAGCCCGCATCATGGATGTCGAGCTCTCCTATTTCGCTTTGCTCGCCTTGGAATTCGAGACCCCAGACGAGAAACAGGATTCATGAACCGGTCGCAGGGGCCCGGGCAGGGGCCTCTGGCTCCCGACGCTGGCCGAAAGGTGGGTCCGGGGGGCGGGTCACTGCTTTCCGAGAAGCCGGGCGGGGACGCGCTGCCCAGAGGAGCCGGCTCTCGGCACGCTGCCCCCGCCCTGCCTCCCTGTGGTCCACACCCCCTTCGGGCTCCCGAGCTGCTGGGCTGGAGTAGTTGGGGGGGTGCGGTGCGACCAGGCGCCGCCAGCCCTGCTTCTGCCTCCTATTTGGGGTCCGAGGGCAGCAAAAACGGGGCACCAAGCCCCGGGGAACCCGTGTTCTGCCCGCCTCTTCTTCTTCCCTGCTCTCACCTGCGCCTCTTGGTCCACTCGCCTTCAAGGCCAGTGGCTACAGCCCAGACGGAGCGGGGACAGCAGAGGGAGAGAAAGCACCTGAGGATACAGAGCTGGCACTGGACTGCCTTTTCACCCCCAGGTGATGAGTGAGGTCGGAAGATCGGAAGATTTTAAAAGCAGCCAGGGCCTCCGTATTGAATGAAAGATCCACGGCAGAGGCATCACCATGAACACAAGCAGTAAGTGGGTCCTCCTCTCCCTTGCCATGGGAACAGGGTGGGGGCGGGAGGTGCAGGAGCCTGCGTACGCCAGGGCTGCCTGGAAGGAGGAAGGAGACCTGGCATCTGGGTGGACACATGGCCCCCAGACTCTTCCGTGGTCCTTTCTGTGCTCTCCTGCAGAGAAATGGGGGTCTGGGTTTTGGGGGGGCTTTTTGTATGTGTGTGTGTGTGTGTGTGTGTGTGTGTGTGTGATCATTCTGCCAATGTTTCATCGGCAGGCAGCGCCACTTGCCTCTGCAGGAAAGGCTGCCTGTCTCCTTCTAGCAATGCCTGGGAAGGCCTCTGAAGCAGTTGTGTGGCCATTGTCTGAGTGTGGGGGCTCTGAGGAGACCTCTCTCCACACAGCTGGAAAGCCACAGAGAGCTTTCTGCTGGTCCTGGAGCTGGGAGGAGCAGGGAGGCTGGCCCTCAGTGGGTGGGTCTGGGGATTGTAAAATATCCCTCTCCTGAGTGCCTGCAGCCCCGTGGGCCCGGAGCTGCTTTCTCCACATCGCTCTAGGCTGCTTAGCCGTGCCCAGAAGGAGAGAAAGAGAGAAGCCCTTTGGCCAAGGCCTCTAACATGCCAGAGGCAGCAACTGCTTTGCAGAGTCAGGACCAGACATTTTGCTACTAGGCTGGGCCCCAGTTGTAAGAAATACAAAGAGGCCCAGTCCATTTCTTATCACTGTAGCACCTTAGACCGTGGGCACGTGCTGTGGCACCACCCTGAAGGGGAGGGCTGGGTCAAGTCCCCCTCCTGCTCTCTCATCAGCTGAGCAGCAGCAGGTGGGGTTATTGGATGGGGAACCCCTAGGAACATTCACTTCCTTAGGTCTCTGACTTGCCCATCAGTCTCCTTTCTGGATCCCAGATTGTCTGTAAAAGGAGAGGGGTTGAATTAGAGACCCTTCAAATATAAGAATCTACAAGTTTCTTAAAAAAAAAAAAAAAAAAAAAAAAAAAAAAAAAAAAAAAAAGCTAGAGCTGAGCAGCAATACCAGGAAAATCAGAACCTTCTGAGACTGTGTCCACATCAAACCCACTGTTTCCTCACCTTCCCTCCATTCCCAGGCTGTTGGCAAGGAGGAATGGAAAAGAGCGAAAACCACTGTGATGGAAATGAAATATTTCTTTACTGTGTATGTGTATGACTTCTCTCTGCTGCCTCCCATTGTGTGTTACATGGCTGCGTGAAGCAAGCGAGCGAGGCTGGACTCGCTTTGCCTCTTTCAGCCAAAGAATGTGCCTCTCGGTTCTGCCAGCCTGGAACGGTGCTTTGGCTTCACACCAGGCTCAGGGAAAGGGCAAAATGCTGTAGATCCGATGGCTTAGTCGGCCACAGGTCTGCATCTGGTGCTTTCAGGCAAATAAAGATGTGAACAGCCTGTCCCTTCTCACTGTCTCTAGCAAAAAATGGATTTATCGGAGCTAAGAAATAAGGTAAAATAAGCCACTGACCCTTCCCTTTTCTCTCTCTGGAATTGTAAGGAATTCTTGTCCTGTTAGCAACACTGATTATTCTTGAAGGAATGAAACAGAGATTTTACTTAAGAAAAGAAAAAAAAAAAAGCAATAATGACCAATAGTGTTGAAACTGCAGAAGATGAGAACTGACAAAAATATCATTCTAGTCACTTTTTCTAAATCAGGAGATTAGCAGAAAATAAACAGAGTAGAGTGACTAGGGCAACCTAGAGGTCTCTGAAGTCTCCATAAGAGGAAGTGATCCCTGGGCAGCACTGTAGAGAGACTGGCTCAGGGCTCAGGGGCTGGGCTCCATCATCTCTGAGGCTCCTCCCAGCCCTGAGCCTGCAGGTGGAGGGCAGGAATCAGACCTCTCTGGACTGAAGGTGTGGCAGGGTCCTAAGGACATAGAACAGGGTGTTGACAGGACATCTCTGGGGCGACTTGATCTAAGCAAAAATGCTCTCCCCTTTGTGATGTGACATCCTTAACTTAATCCTCATGCCTGAAATTAAGCCTAGGAGAAACTCAGCTTTTCTTTCACTTCCGTTTCCTGGGTCCTCACTCTTCCCTAGCCATTGTACTAACTATTTCACGGGCATGAGCAACCCAAACCCTCACACCCAACCTGTGGAATCTTCTAAAGGTTTACAATATCATAGAATTAATTGTTGGATTATGAACGGTTCTTGGATGCATGGTAGTTTGAAAGAGCATACCATTCCTAATCCATGGTTCAAGGTCACCACTGAAGTGGGAGCAAAGCATGAGCTTATTATTGAGTCCTCATCACTTCATCTGGGGAAGAGAAGGGGCTGCAGTCTTGGAACAGTGTATAAGAGCTGACAGAATGTGGTCCCTGGAATCACGTGGGCCTGGGTTCCAGTTCTCCTTTTCCATTTATTAGCTGTGGCCCACAGCATGATGGTCCCATCCACAAAACGGGAATGACAGCCTCCCTTGGTGTGGCATGGAGATGCATGTTAATGTGTTGTGTAAAATTCAGAATGTGGAGGCTTGGGCATGGCTGGCGTCATGTCAGCGATGGTGGTCAGTCTGTCGTCGTCATTGCATTGGCAGTTGCCACTGTTGGCTTTATGATATTAGCAAGCATTATGACAATATGATCACTCAACCTCTGAGACATTATACTGTCATCATAAATTGACAGGAGTCCCAGAAGTGTGATTTTCAGGATTACACTGGATTATGAGAAACATGCTTTGCAAACATATGTACATTGTTTTTATCAATATGAAATACATGTCTTATGTGGCAAAAACGGGGGAGTGTGCATTCTTGTTTCATTTTTGTGCACTTTCCTTTCTTCTGAAATCCAGCTGAGCTTCAGGACAGGAATTAGAAGAGGTAATTTTGGAGATGATGGAGTGTGTGTTGGTTCAGACCTGCAGAATGTAACAGGTGGGCTTTGGCCCTCAAAGCCCATACGCAGGGAAAGGAGAGCTCCCTCCAGGGAGAAGACAGCAAAGGCATGAGCAGGGCAAACAGAACTCAGGAACCTGGGGCTAACACTGAGACAGCATGCTCAGAGAGCTTCAGCGGACGGAAAGGGAAAACAGCAACTGCCTCTACCTTGGCCTCTGTTGGGTCTACCGCCAGCCTTTTCTTGCCCTGGCCTGTGCCCAACTTAATTCCAAGGATCTGTCATTGTCTCCTGACCTACTGAGGCAGCCCACTAACTGGTTTCCTGCCATCCACTCCAGCCACCCTCTATATCACACTCTGCTTAAAATCTGAATCCTGGCCTGGCTGGTGTGGCTCAATTGGTTGGAGCTTCATCCTATGCACCAGGAGGTCTCAGGTTAGATTCCTGGTCAGGGAACATATTGATAACTAGGTTTTGGGTTCGGGACGTGAACTTGAGGCAACCAATCAATGTATCTCTCTCACATTGATGTTTCTCTCTCTCTCCCCCTCCTCCATCTCTAAAATTAATTTTTTATAAATGCTCATTGTTCATTGCTCTTAAGCTGTGAGAGGAAACCCTTCATTGAGACCTGTAGGTCCCAAGTGGCCTGGCCCAGCCTTGCTCACAGCCTGTCTCATCCATACTACACCACTCTCCACGTTCCCATCCCATTTACCTCCTTCCATTCTCTCTAGTGCCTGCTCCTCTGTCCACTCCCCCTCACTCCAGCTGGTCTCCTTACCCTCCTGAGCTGCGGAATCCCTCCCCACTCCCCAGCCCAGCATCCCCCTGATGTGCACTCTCCATGCACCTTGGTTCTGTTCCTTCAGAGCTCCAGTCTGTCATCACACCCTCATCCAAGTGATTTTCCTGAACCACACAGCAAGGAGGGAGCTGACCCCAGATCCCTTGCTCTCACAAAATTCTAGAGCCATGTAAGCACCACCATCTGAAGTGCATATTCTTAGGCAACAGTAAGTTTTTGGTTATCCCCTGTCAGTGTCTCCCATTTGCAAGATGGCCCAGGATTTCCAAAGCCTCTAGGTCCAAAGCAAGGGGAGACTGCTGACCCCAGAATGCCAGAGGCCATAAGCACCAGAGATATTTCTGTGTCCCATAAAATGCTGTGTTCTCTACTTGGTTCGGAACTCCCAGAACTCCTGAAAGCTGGGTACAAAACCCAGCACAGGCTCATCCTTGAGGTGGAAGCATAATGCCCACCATGTACAAGGGTGCCTAGAGCCATCATCACCTTCCTCCTGCCCTCAGACCTCTTCCAGGGTCTCTATCATGGACTGTCATGTCAACAAGTTTTGTTGAATAGAGTACTGAGGGTGTCATACAACCTCCACAAAGATGTCATGGGATAAGCAACACCATCCTGGGGTGGTAAGAACCTGAGCTCTGAATTATAGATTCCTGAGTTCAAATGACCTTTGGTGTACTCCCTCTGTGATCTTGGGCAGGATAGATCTTGTCTCTGAGCCTGGATTTTATCGTATGTAAAATGTGAGCAGTAATGCCAATGTGCAGGGCTGTTGTGAAGAATTAAGTGAAATAACATGAGAAACGCATTGGAGCTGAGTTTCAGGGAAGGAACTGAACCAGAAATTGAGTTGGCTGTTGAGTAGAGCAATGTTCTGCAATGATGATACCATCAGAGCCAATCCCCCTCTGGTTGAAAATTAGCCTGTTTTGCTGGGGTATCGTAGCCACCACTAGGTTCTGTCCATAGGAAAGCCATGGCTTTCAGGAAGATTATTAACCTGTAGATGGCATGAGTTGAAAAGGGCAATGCAGGAAGTTAGGATCCTAGGTGAGAGATAATTACACTGGCTCAGAAAAAGTCTGAGGGCCAGGATTTTGATGGCTATAAGAATATAAATAAGGGGAAATATCCTTTAGAAAATAAAACCTGTATGGCCTAATACCCGATTGAGTTAATAGGATGAAGGAGAAAAGGAGTCTATCTGTTAGGGTCCTGGCAGGGAACAGATGGGCAAGTTGAAAGGAGCTAAATAGAAGACATCTTTGCAATTGTGCAGGATGTAGAGAAATAAACGTGGAGAAGCAAGTGGTCCAGTACC